ATGAATGAATTGAAATTAGAAACAAAGGCTAAATAATGCAAAAACATATTGACAGAAAAGTGCCAGGTTTCTCTACATTCAGGAAATCAGTGCACACATATTATTTTCAAAACATGAATACTTATTTTTGATTCTCAAGTTTTTCTTTAGAAAGAAATTCTATGGAATATATACATAGGCCTTTTTTCAATTAGTGCAGTGGGTTTGCTTCTAATGTTACACTGCAACTGGCAGTAAAAGAAATCCGTATCAAGTCCTGATTTTCTAGTCCCTATCACATTCTGGTTCTCATTCACCACCATTATAATGCATGTTAAATCCTACACAACAGGGAATGTTTAATCTAGACATAATTCTGTTCCTGCTCTTCTCCCTCTCATAAAGACTTTTATTAGGCTTTGTAAAATATTTTTACTGCAAAATCTAAATTTGGAAGTTAAACTACCTAAAGACATCTTTCCACCTTTCATATATAAAACTAACCTAACCAATTGAAATGGTATATAAATTGAAATTTTTATTTTTGCTAAAAATAAACAACTTGTGTTTCCTCTGAAAAAAATTCTTATTCAAAATGATTAATGAGAAGGGAGCAGAATTAAAACTAATGCCCCTAGCATTACGTGATTGTTCCTCTAAGCACTTCTGTGTTGAAGATCACAGAATTCAACTGAAAATTAATTCTGCTTGTGTTTTAAAAAAAATTTCACTGACTTTGGAGGGACTATTTGTATAACAGAGGCAAAGAGGATTTTGCTAGATAACAGAAGAAGGGAAAAACTTTTATAAAAAAGAGTAACAAATTGTCAAGGTGATTAGAAAACAGTACTGGTTAACTACTTTATAGATTCTCTTTCATCCATATGCAAATCATCCGAAAGAGAATATTACAGGCACTTAACAAAGTCTAGTTTCAGTAATACAATAGTACCAAACAATTTTATTAATATTACATACAAATTTTTAAGTCAACGCTGCCTAATATTTTGCTGTTGCTGAAGGCAAACAAAATTCATAAACAGTATCTTTCTGAGTTGTGCATTGGACTGGATGTTATAAGTAACTATCTTAACTAGAAACTAACTTAGAATAGTAATGATCGAAGCAGGGCAAAACCAATACATTTTGTTTTCTTTACTTTATTTCAAAATAGAGTGATTTTAAATACATTCTTGTTATATTTCCTTCCCAGTTCTTTGGATGCAACAAAAAAAAAAAACAACAAAAACCCCCTCACTGTGCTCATTTCATACAAATTCAATTGTACAAATCATGCAAAGGATATTATAGATACTATACCACCATCAAGTTTTGGATGTATTTTGTTGATTCTGAAACATTTGTTAACATTATTCACAAGGCCATGCCTTTTATAATTTATATGGTTATTATGGCTTTTTTTCAAAAAAAACCCAAAAAACAAATTTTTTTTTATACTAGATTTCTATCTTATTGTCAATCTTGAACACTAAATGCAAAAGGTAAATTATCCAATGGTCTTATGTTCTTGCACCATGGTAGTTGCTTTCTGATATAATTGCACAATTGGTTTTTTTTTCCAAAGAAACGATTGCACTTTATTGATTTAATTTAAAAATGGAAACTTCTTTATAATACAATGAAGACAACAGATTATGTTATTAGTTTATGTCTATGGGTCTTAACAGCCATTTTACAAGCATGGCCACTCAAACCAACATAATGAACAGATAGATCTGTTAAGCTACATCCGAAGAGTCACCTTCCCAGATAGACTGACTATAGATTTGAATGGACACTACACTAAAACTGCTGTGCAGACACATACACTGTTTCAAAACATGGAGGAAACAAACTGACACTAAGGTTGTAATTCAAAATAACAAATTCACAGAAATATAGTGTTTTGCCAACTTCTGCATTCTTCACTCACACTATTATGCCTATATATTGCACCATACATGTAAAACACTTAGGAACAATTTCTACAGGAAGGTCCAGGTTGTGCAACCTTTATTGATGCTGGTGAACCTATGCTCAACTGCATAATCCCAAACAAGTCACTGGGCTCTATGTATTACACACAATTCTTCTGAGATGGCTTTTTTGAAGTCAGTGACAAAACTCTATATAAGCCCCACTCTTGGCCAGGTAATTATTAGCTCATGAATGCTCTGCACATGATTTACATTGAGCTTAAATACTTTACTGGATTAGGACCTCAATGAACAGGAAAACCTGACCCAGTGTAACGATATAGCATAACGGTTCAGTTCTTCCTCTTTTGATCAGGGAATAAAAGACCCACCACAAAGAAAACCCCAAACCTCCAACCCCTCCCCCCCAAGACAAAACAAAACAAAACAAACCTCAATTTTTTAGCTGAGGAAGGTACGATCATTTATCATTCTTCTTTTAACTCAGGGCAACACAAGTCATAAGCACATCAGTTTTAACATCACTTAAAAGTATTAGCTTATTTTCTATTTTTAGAAGGGCATGGGACATGACAGTCTCTGACAAAGCACTTAAGTGTGTCAGAAGCCTTTTGGCTTTGGGAAATGCCAGGGAATTTTGACACATCCTCAAAGCCATGCAGAACTGTGCAGAGCGGGCAGAGTGACCCATTATTCTCAGCCTGCTGATGGAGCCATTACAGTCTATCATGTCAGTGCATCTTTAACACTCCTTAATCCACAGACTCTTGACACAATAAATTCAAATGTTCTTATGCAAGCCTTGGCCATGTATTGCATCATTGGGCAACCAAGAACTTTCTATGGTAGAAATGCATATGTTCATAGTATCCATGTCCTGAAAATCCCTATGACATCCTGAATGAAGTCAGTTATGGTGCATGGATAACAGCACCTTTTTGAAAGAAACTTGGCCATTAATTTATATGTTACATTTTTCTTATCTCAAGTTATGAATATACTTTGTAGTATGGAGAAAAATAACAAAACAACCCTCTTTCTAAGAGGGTTCAAGAATATAAGCAAATGTCTGAAAGTAGAAAAATGTCTTGTTTTGCTTTCTCTTAAATGAAGCAGCAGTGCTTTTTTTTTTTTCAGTAAACTTTGTTAAAAATACACTACAGGCAATTTGCCAAGTATCATTGCAGAAAAAAAAATTCACAGCAGTGTAATAGAGCCCTGAAATTAGAGGTTTATAATGGAAATAGCTGACACGGCCTTCTCCATAGTAGTATTATTGGGTCTTGCTGTAACATTTCCTAGTTTCAAATTCATTAAAATTGTTTGTGTTTATATTCTGATAATATTAATTGATTTATGTATGGATTATAAAGGGGCGGGGGGTGGGGGGGAAGGTTCTGCAGGCAAGGACATAGAGGGTCTTATCCACAGCTCATTGAAATGAATGAAAAAAATGCCTTTTCAAGTCAAAGATCTTCTGTTAGTCTCCTAGTATAGATTTGCTGTATGTATCTCCATTCTCATCTCAAGGTACCATCTATCAGTGAATTACAGTGGGGATTTTCCATTCTCCTGACTACTTTTTTCCCTAGATATTCAGATTCAGCTTTCACAAAGGCAAGTTTTTACTCAAGATACGAGCTACACAATACTCTGAACTGAGACCACTATATTAATTTTACACTGTGGCTTTAAAAATAAACGCCATCTATTCTGTCCATTTTTTTCTGACTGACAGCAGCCAGACAGATAATAAGAACAGAAAAATTACACATATACAATTAAAATACTACTGTTACCATGAATTCCTGTAAATACTTGTAGTGAAAACTATTTAGATTAAGCTGTAGAGCCCTGAAAAGCAAGACAACTGATGGCAAATAATTGCCTGAGACACAATACTAAAAAACTAATGAATCTATTTTAAAATGCACCATTGGTAACAAATCTGAAATAAGATAATATGCTAATTTCACAAGAATAGTACAGAACAATTTTATTATCATTATATCCAATCACTTAATTCTGGATAATTCTATACATTACACCCCCAGTTTCTGTTTGGTATATTGTTCTGGTTTTATTTATACTGAATGATTAATGCATTGTGATCAGGAAAACAAGTCAGGCATATTAAATACATATTAAGGAGTACATATTTTTCCTATTTAGTATACAAAGTATTTCATAAATATGAATTATATTACAAAAATAATTTCTGCTACGCTCACACAGTAAGCACTTTGACAATTTTGGACAACCTGTTGGGGTTGTAAGTGTTTCACGTAACTGAGAAGGTACTCTAGTTTTAATTGGAGATGAGTCTTACAACAGATTCTGCATAAACATCAAATATTTTCTTCAGATGCCACAAATACTGCAGAAGTCAGTTTGAACTATTTTCTTTCTTTCTTTTTTTTAATTTTGTGTATAGACATGTATGCGTCAAGTGGTCAAATTTATTTCATAGCTATGTAATGCATGGTATATTTTAAACAAATATTTGCACAATTTAACATTATAATTCCAGTGGTTTCAAGATGCAGGCCATAAATGTATCCAATTTACACATACTATCGAATGTTCTCTCTTTGCATGCTTGTTACTTTTCAGTTAATCTGTAAACAGTGCCATTACAACACCACAAATCAAAGGATTACTCCAGTTCCACCAACTTAAATCCACGTGCAGGATGAAGGACCCAGCTGAGGTACAAATACCAGTACCAGGTTTCTTGTGTTTGTTCTAACAAATCACAAGGAGACGATGGTTTTGCATTTAAGGTACAAAACATATATGCCTCTTGAGGTTAAATTCAGTGTAATGTGTATAAAGCATCCCTTTGGCAATAGAGTTTGCAGTATCCCTACAGGATTCCACAGGGCATGAGCTTTATGTAGTAAAATCTATTAAGGAAATTCTCCTCTACTTGACAAACCATATGCAGCTATAGTTAATCAGACACCCTTGGATACACCTGCCTCTATGCCTATAAATATAATATAGTATTTGGAAGTTAAAAGTCAACAAAAGGCACTTTCATCATTAAATAAATGTCCTCTGTAGGCAATAAGATTGCATGACCTATATTTTATTCAAAGCTGTTTGTTCTTCAAGGACTTGTAGGTAGTCAGGTGAACCTTGAAGTTTAGCTTTTAGTTCAAAATATTCACTTTTTCTTTGTTCTACTACAATTTTACTATGATTACCACCTATTAGAGATTTCTTGGGTTTTTTGTCTTGTTGTTTTTCTGGATAACGTATTTCAAAGCCACTGACCCCTATGCTGTTGTATTCTTTTTTACTTTCAAGAAAATTTTGAATAAATACATTGGAATCCCTCCCAGGGAATAATTCATCCAGTTCATCAATTGTGCTAAGTCTTTTTCTGGTATCCACATGCAATAAATCTTTCTCCTTCTCATTAATATTTCTCAGAATGACTTTTTGCCCTGGTGGGTCAGCAAACGTGAAGCCTGTTTCAGACTCTTTTAAGCCACAGGTATGATTTTTGCTCATCTGCTCAATGGTTTGAGGAATGAAGGCCTCTGCACCTAGTCCGTCTTTTTTGTTTGACTTGTGATCATGCTTTCTTAGCTGCAGTTGCATAGAACTGCATTCTTGATTCCCAATCCCTTCATGCTTTACAGTTGGTTTTTTGTTGCGCCGAAGCACAAAAACAAGAAGACAAAAAGCAACAAACACTGTTAAAATAAGCACAACTAATATGCTTAAGATTAGGATGGACAACGGAACTGGGCCACCAGGAGGACTTCGAACTGGTCCCAGTGGTGTTGTAAAAGTAACAGCGGGCATAGGACTAGTGAACAGAGCAGATGGCTTGTTTAAAAGTTTAGGACAGAGGATCTCATTTTTCAGAGACTTAAGTTCAATGTTAGCAAACTGTACAGGTGTTTCACATTTCAATTCCTTCACCACAATACCTTCATTTAGCTTTTCAAGCCACAGTTTTAAAGCAACTAAATCACAAGTGCAGTCCCATGGATTACCTTCCAAATCAATTTGTGTAAGAGATTTTAGCTGATCAAGAACGCCACTTACAGGTAAATACATGAAATGATTGTTCCTCAGATTCAGTCTAGCAAGTGGTGCACCAGCAAAAATGTACGCTGGCAAGCTTCGTAAAAGATTGTTGTTCAGGTAGAGCAATTGTAAATTTGGCATTAAGTCAAAGGTGCCTGCTAGGATTTCTTTGATAACATTGTATTCCAAATACAGATATTGCAAGTTGTGGAGACCAGCAAACATTTCTGGGCTCAGACGCTCTATCTGATTGCCATTGAGATACAATCTCCGTAAATTTGTAAGGTTGCGGAAAACTTCTCCTTTGATCACTGAAATGCGATTGCTGCCTAAATGTAGCAAATCCAGCCCCTCAAACTCAATGAAATCTGTAGTGTCAACATCCTTAATATAATTGCCATTGACATGCAGTTTCTTGGCATTTAAAGGTTTTGGTACCAGTTCGGCCATTGACTCTATATTTCTTTCTTGGCAATTTACACTTAATCCCAAATCTGAAGGATGTGTTTTGCAAACACAAGGGACTGGACAAGGAGTCAAAGGAGGCACCCTGGTCTGGTAAGATACGATTTGACTGAGATTGCGATTAGATAGTGCTTTGCCTGCTACTATCCCCGAGATCTTCGAAGGATTTGTAGTCTTTGGCGGCTTTGTGACTAATCTGTGCACTGATGTTTGAGTGGTGTGGCCATTTGGTGTGCTGTAACCGGGCTCCAGCTGAGAGGGAGGCAGAATGCGCACATCAAAATCACTCCCTGTCCCCATGGAGCACAGCTCTTGCTTGTTGGTTTCTTTCAGCAACCTTCCGTACAAGTCACTGGGTGTTTCACAGATGGCTTCTCCAATGTAGATGTTATAGGGCATGTTCTCCAGCCATGCTTTCAAAGGCAACAAATCACAGGTACAATTCCAGGGGTTGTCTTCCAGCTGCAATTCAACAATTCGCCCAATGTGTTCCAGAACGCCAATGTATGGAAGCTTCTGTATTCGATTCCCTCGTATATCCAGATGGGTTAGAGAAGCAAATCGAAAAACGTTATCAGGAAGGAATGAAATCAGATTGTCATTAAGGATCAGGACTTTCAGCTTGTGAAGCTTATTGAAGGCTCCCCGTTCAATAAACTTGATTAAATTGTAGTCAGCTTGGAGATACTCCAAGTTCTCTATGCCAAGAAAAGTGTCAGCTCGGAGAATCTTTAATTCATTGTTGTTCAAGTGCAACTGTTTTAATGCACTAAGACCCATAAAGGCCCCTCCCTCAATATTCTGTAACTTATTATTACCCAGTTGCAAGGACACTGCATGTGTAAAATTAAGAAAGGTATTTGGATATAGAATAATTAGCAGGTTGTTCTGAAAGTTGAGGTGGTAAAAATTAGACCACGGTGGTTTAAGCTGATTTGGTCTGTAGACTGCAACCTTCTCACAGTTGACATAGAGTACATGCTCAACTGACACACAGGAGCAAACATTGCAAATTTCCACAGATATATCAGCATCTGCAGTTGTAGAAGAAACTGGAGATGACAGAACCAGAAAGAGCCACAGAAACATCTTCTTGTGATCAGCAAGTAACCTTAGGCTCCTGAACAAAGACAAAGAATCTAAAGAAAAAAAGAAGGAAAGAAAAAAGAAAATGTTTTTCAGTTGTCATTGTTCCAAAACGTCATTTGGGTTAAAAATTGTATTCCACTGAGCTACTGTACCTGCCAAGGATTATAGATAAACTACAAGCACTGAATTTAAAATAACATGAAAGATTTTAACAACCAAACAAATACACAGGGGCTAGAATGATTTAAAATACAGAATGTAAATCTCTGTAGACAAACACAAGTAACTCTGAGGTCTGTCAAATATATTTCTGTCTCTTGGACATGCCAAACATGCGTAACTAACAAAGTAAAATAACCAAAGGAGATTCCAATTTTATGCATATTTACTCCCCTTACTCCTGCACTGCTCATATGTTGCCATGCATTTCAGGGATATTAAACACAAATGCTGATGTTATGCATGCCCAAACATCTGGGTTGGGATAGCACAATATAGAAAGGATGAAGATGCAGACACAAAAAGCAATGTCAATACTCAATGTGTGTATCTATAGCATCAACACATACAGATTATCACTATGATAATAGTGACATTCACTCAAGGGATACATAAGCATGCACTCACATTGTTTCTGTCACTTATAATACCTAGTTTAAATAAACAGGTGGTAAACTGATCACAGAAATACAATTAACTATACACAAACCAAGAAGATCAGCTCTGGGTGACCAATGGAAGCACACAGATAGGGAAGAAGCATGCACAGGCATACAGCCCCATCCCCAGGAGTAGCAACAATACCCTGACTTGCAGGGCAAAATAAAGTCACAATTCACTGGCCTGACACTACCGAAATCTGAGAACTTTTTTTTTTTTTTTTTTTTGTAAAACATTATGTAATTTGCTCTTATCCCTGCACTGATACAGAGGTGGCTTTCAAGACCCCTTCACATATATTCAGGCCAGCTGAGCTGCCATTTTTTAGGCAGAAGAGCTGGAGCCACAGCATTTCCTCTGGGTTAGAAGATAGCTTTTTTTTTTTTTTTTTTTTTAAGAAATCAGTCAATAATCAATACATTGCTCCCCTCACCTTCCTCCATTCCCCCCATTTCCCAACTTGTCCCTTTTGTTTCCTGCTGTGGGAAGCCACTGAGTTGGCAGGAGGGAGACAGGATGGAAGTGGAAAAAGCAGGAGCCAGCTGGAGGGAGGAGAATCGGGCTGGAGGGAGCCGCAAGGAGGGGAGGATGCGCCAGGGGACCTGGAAGGGAGGGCAAAGGAGGGATGAGGGAGGAAGGAAGGGAGGACAGAAGGACAAGAGGGAGAGAGAAAGCTGAGAGGAGGCAAGGAAGGAAGAGGGGAGGGGATGGCTGAAGGGGTCAAGGAGGCCGCGGAGAGGGACTACGGGGAGAAAAAGGAGCAGAGCAGCCGCTGCTGACCCCCGTAGGCTCCCGACCCTGGCCGCGGCAAGCGACCCCACAGGGGCCGCCC